CTGCTGTGGAAGGCCAAAAACAGACATTATGCACCCCTGCTCTGCATTCATTTCTTTAGTCGTCTTCCTTTTCCCTCCGTCTTTCAAGCACTCCCTCGTTCGTTCTAACCTTTCCATTACTCTTTTCAGGTATTTTCCTTTTGTTGAATATCTAAAATGACAGCACATAAAACACCTTGGAACAGAAGCTCCCTAAGTGCTCATTAACGCCTCGTTAGCATAGCAAATGAACATCTCAAGAAAGGAGTGGGTCTGGGATGGGTGCTGAAGCTAAACAAATGAGTCAAAGGATCTTTTTTGTCTTTCTACTGAGCCATATCAGAAATATCTGAATCCATTTACTTCCAACTTCTTCTGGCACAACAGAGCTTAACCCTTTTTAACCACATCCACATTTAATTTAATTTTCATCAAGGCCACACAAAGAACGTTCAAACATCGGTGGCTATGACATTGTTTGCCTAGTCGCAACACCCCCAATGCCTTTCACATGCTTTTCTTCAGCAAGACATTACAATGTCAGCCTTGTAATTATCTCTCTTTACTTAGAGCAGCAGAAGCCACTGCTGTTGACTGACCATCACCTGTCCTTGACCGAGATATGTTGTGTAGTAAACAGTCAGTTTTTATTCAGTGTATTAATGTAAAACACAAACCCAGGATGTTGCTGCTTGTGTTGTGACACTGGGAGCTTCAAGAAAAACTTCGTGTTGAAACTAATATAATTGAAAGAGAGACAAAGGATATTTTTCACTTGTTTGATCTCATTTATTTCTGTATTAAATCATGGCTAAATGTTCTGCTACTAAAATCCCTGTGCTTTTTTTCTGCAGTCCATACAGAGCTCCATAAAAGTTGCTAACCTGATCTTAGTTGTCCATGTGCACACTATTGGCCATTACTAAAGACTACAGTAACTATAGTTACTGTAAACATGCAATAGTAGGACTGTATCTCACCTGTGCCCTCTTGCTCTGGTTGTGTCTACAACCATCGTATGAAAGTGTAACATTTGTTGTCTCTTTAGGATTCCTGCATCTTGGTCTTAGACTCATTTTACCCCTGACCAAAGAAAAATTGTGTGTCCTGCTTCCACAGATTCCTGTGCATTTGCTTACCTCCAGGCCCTCTTTGTACAGGTATCTGTATTTTGTGTTCATGACAAGCTGGACTCCTACTGAAATCCATATTAATGGCCAAGTACTGTAAGTTGATGCTAATGAGTTATACAGTCTATGGTCACACACCCACAAGAGGTCAACGCCTAAAACAAATCTTAAAAATGCTGTGCTCAAAACGTTTGTGTTTGGTATTTTTTGATCTGTATGTGTATTGTTCTTGTCAGCAGGGAATGTGTGTTCTATTCAACAATACTTGCTCTCTTTTTGTGCTCCTGCATTATCATTGTGTACTTCATGGTCCTTTTCAAATGGACCATTGAGGTATTCAGTTCTGGTTAAAGAGCTATTAATTCTGCGCACGCCTCTTTCTGCTTTTGGCTCTGTCAACAGCATTTCATTAGAATAGTTTCAGTAGTTTGTAGCTGTTGAATGGTTTCCTCTACCTTCAACTCCCAGTGGCAGGAGGTTGAGGTCCTTGAAGCCCTTTTTAAGAAAATTGCTGCTGACAGCAACAGCAGTATGTGTGGCTTCTGTGTTTTCCCTTTGTTCTTGTTGTTCTTTTTGATTTAGCCCTGGAAAAATGAATAACAGAGGATTATAAAGTGTTACTGTTGCATGTAGCTTTTTCTTTTTCCCTCTCCCCCTTGCTTTCCCTTGATTACGTCCTCAAGGAGGTTATGTATTCAATAGTGTTTGTTTGTCTGCTAGCAGGATTAGAAAAAACTGCAAGGTTGATATTTATGAAAGTTGGTGGTGAAGCGGAGCGTGGGTAAAGAAAATACCGATTAAATTTAGGTGTCTACAGTTCAGACAGAGCAGCTTTACCATTACTGGGTGTCTCTGTGTATTTATCAATTTAATGTTTAAACCTTTTTCCAATTTTTACTAACTGGATGCTTTTGGACTGACACATTTTTATAATCTTCACCAAAGTTGGCACAGATTATCTCCACACCAACCCCAGAATTTTTTTTTCCACAATGGATTTAAATTCAGTGTTAAAGTTCCCAAACTGTTTAGCATTTAAAATAGATCTGGAAAAACATTGACATTTCATTTGCAAACTGACCTCTGATAGAAGAGTTAACAGTTACCTTAGAAGACATCTACACACTCTGATTTCCTCTCTTGCATCCTTTTCTTTGCTCATTTTGTCTTTCCAGTTAATTTGAAGATTTACAACCTTCCCTTCTTCTTTCAGGCAGTACTATGAGATGCTGTACAACACTGCGGATGAGCTGCTGAACCTGGTGGTGGACCAGGGTGTCCGCTACACAGAGCTGGAGTACATCAATGCCCTTTCCTTACTCCATCGCAGTCAGACAGGAGTAGGTGATTTGAGCACTCAAAACACCCGGCTACAGAGGCTGAAGGAAATCATCTGTGAGCAGGCCGCCATTAAACAGGCCACCAAGGATAAGAAGATCACCACAGTGTAATGATAAAGCAAGGACGTGGCATTCAGAGGGAGATGACCATTGAAAGGGAACAGCGATGCATTTTTCAGTGCGATGAACTCTGGCATGTTTTTGTTTTTGTTTCTTTCAAATTTTTGTTGCACAAATACATGTGATGTGTTTTAGATTTGAGATTTTGGTTAAAAAAAACACAAAAAGATGTTTGCTCTAGACACAAGATTGGGAAATTTGTTGATGGAAAGTGTGTCATCTACATTTCATACTTCCTAATGATGATGAAACACACTCTAGTCAAGTTTTGACAAATAGATATGGATTTTTTTTACTTATATGAGCTTATGTGAACTGACTGACTCTACATGGGAAGGGAGGTGACAACCTACATAACTGCAAGCCTTGCAAGTCCATTGGTCCATGTATCTATGTCACAAAGCAGCCTATAATGTCAATTTCCGCTATTTAAATCACATAATAAATGCAGCGCACACGCCCGGACTCTTAACAGTGCTTTGCTCACCATGACTACATCTCCAGATAAAGGGCGATTGTCTTGGACACTCACCCGAACTTAGTACCCATCTCATCTCATTTTCCTATTAGATCTAAACTGCTGCTCTCAATTACACCTCTTTCTCTCCTCTCCTGGCAGCCCCATGGGCCCACTGATTCTGTCTGCAATAACAGATGCCAGATTAGACTGTCTGAATGAGGCCACATCTTCCGCCTGCTGCCAATTTGGGTTGGTCCCCTATGATTTCCCTAGCTGACAATTGTATCATAGCTATGGTTGTTAAAAATCTGTTATCTTTTTTTTCCTCATAGTTCGTGCAGTAAAGTTGTGCGACTATTGTGGAAAGTTGTGAGTCAATTAACATATTATTTTGCAAATTGGACAAAGAGACCACAGTGGAATGACTCTGATTTTTTGTGCTAAGGCACATATGTGGCTGTACAAACCAAAACTATGCAATGCTGAATCTTTATTTTGCCATTCAAACTGCATGTGCTCAATCCTATAAAGTGAGCTAAACATATAAACTCGAGAGACGATCACAAATCATTCCCTTCCCCACAATCCTCCTTGTTTTTAGTTCATTAACTTGGGGGAGAAGTACTTAACAAGAGGGGGAGAGGGAAATGGGAGCCTTGTCAATACACTGGGCCCAGCGCTGGTCTCCCTGAAGCCCACAGAGCAATCCATCATAATGACACATAGGCTGGGATCGATGGGAAAACAACTGCGGAGCTGCTGAGTGGTTTGCCTACCACTCTGAAACGTACACTTGGTGTAAAATCTAAAATCTTCTCATTCATCTGTTCACTTCAGAGTTACTTTTATAATGTTATACATGGAAAACTTTATTTCAATGCTAAATGACTCTGTCAGGGCCGTGCCATTCACAGATGCTGTTAGACTACTATTATGCTGCACAAACATAGCCCATAGAATTCTGGAATAATGCTCTTATATATATGTGAAAACCACTCCTGTCCATTCTTTTTATCCCTGAATTACACTTGCAAAAAGGTTCTTTTACAGTTACCCATATCTCACCTGCTTTTCTTTGCAATTGATCTAAATTTCTGTTTAAAGAACTGATTTTATGTTTGGCATAGAAATGCATTGAATTCTGGCTTTAGTGGTTACCAGGCCTATTTCTTGATCTGGTTCTGAAGTGTCATAAATGCTCTGAAATGTATCTATTCTAAATGAAGCACTCACAATTTGACAGTGCATACACTAAAAAATAAATTCTTCAAATTCCAGTCTTTGTCTGTGTACGTTTCTTTCCTTACATGGTCGTAAAGGTCGCATTTTCCACTCTTAGATGTTCAGCTGCTAGGAGTTCATACACACATTGACCTTCTGCACGTGACAGCCTGTCACTGTTTTGAAGCAGTGAGGATGTTTCTGCCATGTATCACACAAGCTAGATGGATCCAACACACACACAAGGATTTACTTAAGCTGACAGGTGTGATGTGTTGTGTGACATGGCTTTAAGCACAGCGTGTCTTGAGTTTTTCTATATGATTCAAGATTCTTTATTTGTCATATTTGTGATAAGTAGTAGCAGATGACAGAAATCTATCAGCATGACTCTTTGGGTTTAAACAGTAAAAAAAGATTTAAACTTTACAAAAAAAAAAAGCCATTGGAAAAAAAAAAAAAACCAGGCCATTTTCTCTGAATTCAGTCTTTGGCGGGCACTCTGGCCTTATATTTGACATCCATGCTGCACACTTGACAGACCATAACAGGCAAAGAGGCACAATTTTTGCTACATGTGTTTGTTTGTTTTTTTATTGTTAAG